TTATAATACATAGTTCTGGAAAATCTGCCTGTCTAGAATTTTGAAGACCTCAAAAATGAGATAAATTTAAAACTGAAAAATCCAGAACTATTTCTCAGAACAATGTTAAAAATCAACTGTTTTCTACTTTATTAGAGACAGCTAAAGGCTTGTAAAACATGAGAAATGCCATTGCACCAATTACTTCCAAATGCAATCAGTCACACTGCAATTCCATTAAGCCTATTGCATGTTTAACAAGCATCCTGAGATAAAATTTTATACATTGCAAAGGGTCATATGTAGACCATTCTTTGATTCTTTTACTCCTATGAGCATTGTTTACAGCTCTGATAAGATCTCAACTATCTCATTCTGAACTACATTTGTACTGAAATTTTTAATTTGCACAAAACTAAGGAAACACTTAAATCAAGGGTGTCCAACCCAAGGCAAGTTCCAATGCGGCCCAATAAACATGTAAACAAAACCGACAATTTTTTTATTTTATTTATTTATTTCAACTGCATAAACTAAAAAAAAAAAAAAAGAAGTTTTACAAAGCCATAAACCTTTATATATATTTTATTTTTGAGTGAAAAGGAAATATTTTCAAATATTTGGAAATGTGTGAATGAGGAAGGAATACTAAATAAAGCTAAAGTTGAGACTCAAAGAATTATAGACCTAAATTCGGAGACAGGAAAGACAGGCCAAAAGATAAAAAGTAGTGAGAAAGGTTAAATAGGCCTTCTGTTATGCAAATATTGACCCTTAATTTTCCAACCTTCCCCACTTTTTTATCTTTTGTCCTTTCCCCGAATTTGGGTCCATAATCCTTTGAGTCCCAACTCCAGCTTTATTTAGTATTCCTTCCAGCATTGCATGATTTGGCTACTTTGCGCCAAAGTTGGCTGCCCTTTTTTTAGTTTGGCGTAAAAAATATCATTTGGCGCATTGGCTACTTTTTGGGCTACATATTATTTATAAATATATTAGTCAAATAAAAATGCACTTTAAAATGGTGTTTCGTCGTTTTTTATTAATTAGAGACCCAAATAAAACAAATATTTGTGTTTTTCAAATAAATTTTTGTTTGTCTCCTTTATAATAAATGAATTTATTTATTTCTAAATAAAAATTGAAAGTGTCTGGAGAAGTAATTGTTTAAAATATCCTTTTTCGTGATAAAGATTTAATACTTATTACTATAATCTAGACATGTTAATCCTTAAATATACTTGTATATTTAACGATTGGGCCACAAGTATATATAATATACTTGTGGCCCAAAACTCCATGGCATCTTCCAATGTGGCCCAGAGGTTGGACATCCCTGACTTAAATAAAATCTCTCTCTCTCTCTATTTTTGATTTAAAATTTTATTTAATGATTATATCTTATAAATTTAATTATGTTTATCATATATTTTTAAAGTTCTAATTTTAATTTTAAATTAATTGCAAATTATATTATATTAGGGCAACTGTTTGTTTACATTTTATTCAATTTCACCTTATAACTCCTGAAGATGAGCATCTGCCTTAAAATTAATTAAATTTATGTTTGTTTTTAATGAAAATAAAACAATTAATTCTCAAAACATTTCTGGTAATATGCTCTTCTGTCTTACTTTTTCCATTCAGACTAATTTCTATTCATACTCCTAACAGACATATAGTACAAAGTAAGGTCAAAAAGTTCCAGAATGGGTCTAATAGAAAATGTCTGATGTACATGTTAATTTATTGAGAGTTGTTGCTTTCAAAATAAGTTCCTTCTATAGCTATACATAAATTTCAGTGCTTCTCCTAGTTTTCAAAACATTCCTGCAACTCTTTTTTTGTGGGGTTATTAATTCCTCTCTGCGATTCTGTTTGAATGTCATCAATGTTCTCAAATCACTATCATTTCAGCAGTTTTTTTCAGTTGTGGAAATAGAAAAAGTCACATGGTGCCAAGTCTGGTGAATAAGGAGGTTGGGAATCAATAATTGCCATTTTATTTTTGGTGAAAAACTGTTGAATAGAGATAGCTCTGTGAGTGGAGCATTGTCATGGTGCAACAACCAGTTCTGAGTATTCCAAAGATCTAGCCATGTTCAGTAACACATAACACCTAAGTTAGAATTCTGAGTGGCTTAGTGGGCAGAGCTAAGAATGTTCTAAGCATCATTGAATGATCATTCTTAGTTAGACAACTGGGCAAAATGGTGGACGAAGTTAAAATTATGATTGCAACAATTGTGGCAAACGAAGTGGTTGAAAAGGATGAAGTAACCAATACAATTATTCAAATTGAAGCTGCGTCAGATCGTGATGAAATTAATGAAGTAATTATTAATTGTAATCAACGAAATGGACTGTTATTTTCCTTTAAAATGTATTCAAAATCTGTTATACCAACGTATGATAATTTTACATTTCAAAGTCATTTTAGAATGAGTTAATAATTTAGAATGAGAGAATAGCTTTGTGATTGTTATAATAAACTATGTTTAGTCCAACACGAGCAGCCATCTTGCAAATCGTACGACAAGACAAAAACAATGACGTCACTAGTGGAAGTTAGCATAGACAAAAGAAGCTGACTGAACTAGCTAGAATTCTAGCAGTGGGAGGAGTCAAGCAGTAGTTAGAAACAACTTGAGAATTGCACCATAACTAGACTTAGCAAGAATTCTGCATTACTGAACACAGCTCTGATCTTTTTCATCTGACATTTTCACTCACTGCCCCCAAAATATCCATATAAAAATTTTGATTTACAGTTTGGCCTTGTGGAACAAATTCTAAGGTTTGTTCCCAAAGTGTTGGAAAGGACATCATGAATTAAAGAAGACACTTATATGGTACTTCTATGCATTGAAATTTTGTAATGTATTTATTATTGTCAGTCAAAAGTCGAGGAACAAATTTGGCAATAATGCACCTTATGTTCAAAATGTCTGTCAAAATGTGAAAAACAGATCTGTGGGAAATTCCAATAGCATTTGCAATGTCAACTGTTTGATATCAGTCTTGTAAATTTCATCTTTCGTTTTTTCAATATTTTCATCATTGATGCTTGTTGATGAATGACCAGGACATTCATCATATTCAATAGACATTTGTCTATTTTTGAAATGAGAGGACCACTCAAAACATCGAGTTCTACTCATTGCATTATCTCCAAAGACTTCTTTAAGTATTGTGTGATTCCATTGCAGTCTTGCCAAGTTTGAAACAAAATTTCACACACACACATTGTTCATTAAAAGATTTCATTTTACAAAGCAATGAAAACATGGATCTAATCTAAATAGCAAGAAACAAAAATTACATACATTTGACTGGAAGCTAAATAAGAATGTCTATTACACATTCTAGCTTGTGCAAGTGCAGCCTATGACCAATTGTAGCACCAAGTCACCAGTCCCAGAACTTTTTGATTGCACCTTATATATGCTAGACTGATTTATATAAGCTGCTTGCCTAGTAAAGTGGCTTTAATACATCTGGTTATGTAAGCCAATGTCTGTTTAAAATTAAATGGGCTATATCATTGGACACATTACCTGGTAAAGCAGCTTTAAATATAGCAAGATAAGCAAAACTAATGACAGTCCATTTCAAATGAAACAGACTATGTCATTAGTTTTGCTCATCCTGTTGAAATTAAAGCCACTTTACCAAGCAACATGTCCAATATTCTACTATATGTCTACAAGTGTCTACAAGTACAAGCCTACAAGTGTTAGGTTCATCTCAACAATTAATATAAATCAAATTGACTATCTATCTATCTTCTTCTCAGCAATATTAGTTACTTATACTACTAAGCACAGTTTTTTCTTTATTCCAAACGTTTTCAGCCTATCTGAATAGGCTGAAAACATTTGGAATAAACAAAAAACTCGGCAAATATAATCAGATGTGTTTAGTAGTACAGTGGTACCTCAGGATACGAAATTAATCCGTTCCGAAACTGAGATCGTATCATGAAAATGTCGTAAGGTGGATCATCTTTTCCCATACGATTACATGTAAAACCAAATAATTCGTTCCAACGCGAAAAACATACTCAAATTAAAGCCAAATAATACATTTAAAAAAATAACTGTAGTAAGAAAAACAAATGAAAAATGCGAACTAATGTAACGTCGTATGGTGAGTTTTTGTTCGTATCGTGGAGCAAAAATATGTTCGAATTTCATGTCGTATCCTGAAAATTTCGTATGCTGGGGCGTTCGTAACCTGAGGTACCACTGTATAAGCAAATTGACTAAAGTGGTGAGATAAGTAAATTAGTTGTTTACATACAATTTTAAATTTAATAATAATTACTTTATCATCATACACAATAAACAGATCTCATAGTAATCTAAAAATCTTTTATATTAATATGAATTCTGGAAAGTCTGATATTGAATTTTCAGATTTTAATATGATTTTGTAACTTTTTACTTATGAAATTTATTCTTTAATTACTTAATAATAAACATTAATTGTTATCCCCATTTTTATTAGATTTCATTAAAACATTTTTCCTTTCTCTTCATATATAAACATGAAATAGATGTGTTCAGATTGTTTACACGTGTCCATTGTTATTCTATTCAATTTATGCTAATAAACTTTTATTTTTGAAATATAACAAGAACTACAAAATGTGTAATAATTTAAAAATTTAAGAATATATCTGTTCGTTTTACAAAATCGAACATTAATTAATTTGATTCCACATGGACGATGACTAACCTCCATTTTCACTTTTTCTACTGTTGACAGCCATAACATCCAGAATTTTTCAAAATCGCCTCATTAAAAAATACTGTTACCAAAGATCTAGCCATGTTCAGTAACACATAACACCTAAGTTAGAATTCTGAGTGGCTTAGTGGTCAGAGCTAAGAATGTTCTAAGCATCATTGAATGATCATTCTTAGTTAGACAACTGGNTTTAAAAATTTAAGAATATATCTGTTCGTTTTACAAAATCGAACATTAATTAATTTGATTCCACATGGACGATGACTAACCTCCATTTTCACTTTTTCTACTGTTGACAGCCATAACATCCAGAATTTTTCAAAATCGCCTCATTAAAAAATACTGTTACATTCACTTTTTCTTATTCAACCTGCATTCAATCTTCACTTCTAGAGCATGCTACAAGGTGGTTCACTGCCATACAGCGGTTCTCTTTAGTTCTTCAAAACGCCGCTAGGTTCGCGTTTTAGCTCCGTTTCACACGGAAAGTACACAAATACTAATTAGAAATTTTTATTTTTAAAGTGCTTATAAATGGCATATTGTGACGTGCCTTGTTGTGAATCTAGAAGGAGAAAAGGTAGTAGTATCTCATTTCATAAATTTTCAATAAATAGTGAGCTTAAAAACTTTTAACAATTTCTTAATAAAGTGAGATCTCTTTGAGCTACGCAAACAGATCTGTAATTTGTAAAAAAAATATTTAAAGGACAATTAATTATGTAAAAAAATTATGAAACGAAATAAAATTATTTTAGAGGAATACAGTTTTTATAGGTGTCCATGATCAGTACTACATAGAGCGGCCGGATGGCCGAGCGGTCAAGGTGGCAGCCCACCGCTCTGGGGGACCCGGGCTCGAATCCGAACGGGTCGAAAAATCCCCACGAAACTTTCGGGGGGTGGTTCGTTCTGATATGTCGGGCCCCGCTCCTCACCACCCGGCAGCCCGATTGTGGGCATGACCGAATCCAAAATGGGCTTGCAAAAAAGAAGTCCTCTTAGTGCCTACAGTGCGGAAAGAGTTTAAAAAAAATACTACATAGAACTTAAATTTTGAATAAATTCGTTAAATCGTTTTCAACGTATGCAATCGGCATTTTGTCAAAGTAGATTTACAACCAGAGATAACAGTGACACCGAGCTACCGAACAATGTGTGAGTCTGTATATATTTAATACCTTTTTTGTAGAGATGACCGCTTGCTAATGGCCGTTCTGATAGCTGAACCTGAGCGAGAGGTGTCAACTCCACCAGAGCCATCGTCAGAGCCTGCGGCACCAGAACCGTCACAAGAAGTATTGTAAGAGCCATCACAAGTCAAGCGGCCTAGACGGCCCCCAAAATATTTGGACGATTATGTTACTGATTAAGGGAGGGAGGCGCACAGTTCCAGTTTTGCCGCCAAAAATACGGGGTAAACAGGTGAGCAGTAATTTCACGTATCATTCTGACTAATTTATAAGTATTCTATTATGTTTATGTAAGTTTTTACTCAAGCGTAGTAAACACCGAGTTTTTTTACTCTGTGTTTACTACGCTTGAGTAATACTTATAAATTAGTCAGAATGATACGTGAAATTACTGCTCACCTGCTTACCCCGTATTTTTGGCGGCAAAACTGGAACTGTTTCTTGTGCTTTTTTTATTGATATAGTATCGTGCGTCATCGTCATGGAATTAAATTTCCAGGAATTTCTGTGACAATTAAAAACTGATAATGAAATTTTAAAATTATAAATAATTGAATTTGGATTTCACATTCCCTTTTTATCATCTAGTTAAATATCTTTCAAGTACTGTGATTTGAACGCGCTTGTGTTTTCATAATTAATACATATACACACTTCTCCTATTTTATTTCTTGAGATTATAACCAAACGCCTTTTTTCCCGAAATAAATGAATAAATATTTTAATAGTTATTATTTTAGGCTAGTTTTGGGCTATATGACGTTTGTAGTTGGCGTTAAATGAAAATCTGGTAATACGGCAGTAATCCTGTCTTTGGCTTTCTACAGTTAAGATGAAGGTGAAAGGATCTGTAAGTATTGAAAATTAAATATCTTTATTTTACATAATATAACTATTTTCTATTATAATTACAACATATTTTGTCTTTCGTTTTTCTTAAATTTTAAGAAATATTTTAAATGTTGCAACATTATAATTTAGGTATTTGGTTCAAAGCCACGTGTTTAATTGTGAACGCCATTTTGTCTGTCCGAAAGAAAATAGTTTAGTAGTCTAATTTATTATTAATTTTTGAAATAAAATGGATTTTATCAGATACAAATGTAAATTTAAGTAATTATTTTACAGAATAAAAATAATGTAACTTGAAATAATTTCTATGACTTTAAAATAAAATTCATACGGACTATTTGTTAGACTTATACGAATAATTTTTAAAATGTTTTCTATTTTATATTCTCGATGATAATTTTTGGGGGTTTGTATGTAAACAATAACTTCTTTTTGTAAAATTGGAAAAATGCGATCAAAATCGAAAAAATAGTAATCGTGAAATGCTGGATTCAAACCAATGTCCTGTGGAAATCGGTTCACTATTCTGTTAGCATAATTCATTGATGGATATTATTTCTTGAATGCTTATCTGCAGCAATGTTTTATCAATCATCAGAATATAAAGTTTTCCAGTATTCCAAACCCCCTAGTTTGGAATACCGGAAAACTTTATATTCTGATGATTGATAAAATTCTGGGACGATAATGTGTAATTTTACACGGTGGAACTAAACTTTTGCGACACACGGATTATCTCACTTTGTGTGTTTATACATTTACAATTGTCTAATAATATGCTAGTTTAATGATGATGTATTATTTTTACATGTTTCTGCTACTTACACAAACGTGTTGGTTTCATTAGATGTGTTTGTTTAACTCAATGGGAGTGGACCTAAACTTTTGCACCTTATATAACAGCTGGGAAAGTAAAATTCAGCAATGGGTTGCTTAACTCTCCCAGCAACATTTTAAACTGCACTTGGTGCAATCTGTATGATATATTATTAAAAAAACTTTTAAATTAAATTATATAAATTATAATAAAATGGCAAAAAGCTTAATTTTTACGATAGGAATGAGTTATATAAAAATTGTAAATGCTAATAAACAAGTAAGATCTGCATTAAGTCTGACCCTACTTGAGATGTCATGCATGACTCCCTCTTTACGTCTCCATCTTGTCGACCTTTAACCACCAAAATTTAATGGCATATATCCCCACAAACCTCCCTGCAAAATTCAGAAATTTTGACAAAAGTTACAGGTGTTAAGCTTTAGAGTGAATGTGCCCTCCCCCACACATCCATACATATAGAAAAATTCAAGAATTTTTCTGTATGTATGAATGTTTTGGTTGGGGTTTTGAATTTTGTTTTGTATTTAAGGTCCTGAGTCCAAAAAGTGAAAATCTTGGAATGTCAGTTTTTTGACTGATCACAATACTTTCCCTCTTTTTATATAACAGTTTGGAAAGCAAAAGGTGTGTGAGGCCTTGTTGAGGAAAATCAGGAGGCTATCGTTTCAAGAGTCATGAGAACTACAACATTATTTCCAAATTTTAGGAGTTTTTCTAATGAAACTGTGAAGTTTGCAATCCTGTTTTTTGTCAAAAACTTTTATGATCATAATAATGTCATGAGAAAATATTTTAAAAATGTTTTACAAAATAAAAAAAAGTTGAATAATTAACCTAAATACATTTTCAAAAAAATTCTGAAGATTTTTATTTTATAAGAGTTTTTTATTTACATTTTCTTGTGGACAGAATAGTTAATGCTGTACAAATTATTAATGGACCATAAGAGTTAGCTCAAGAATTGTTGTTGTGCTCTTCTGTTGCAACATGCTTGCTGCAACAGAAGAGCTATTCTAAATACTCACATAAGCAGTCAGTGTTATGATCTGTTTGGATGTTAGCTTATAACAAGTATTTTTTATTTCACCTGTGATAAAAATATTGCAGTATGTGAAATTTACACTATATAATAGAAACCCTTTATGGTTTACCTAGAAACTTTTTCCTAGAATGACAAGTTGTACGTACCATCTATCAACTGATTGCTGAAATAGTTTTTATGAAGCCTTATGTCCAGCATATGAACATTTTTGTCAGTACCAGATTAGTACAGTGGTACCTCAGGATAAGAACGCCCCAGCATATGAAATTTTCAGGATACGACACGAAATTCGAACATATTTTTGCTTCACGATACGAACAAAAACTCACCATACGACGTTACATTAGTTCAAGCGCCATTTTTTATTCACTTCTGTTCGTTGGTCTCAGTCTGCATGTTTGCTTTGTCGTGGAAGGATCTTGCTCGATGAAGGAAATCCTGAGGTATTATCAGAAAGTGACTGATTTTATTGAAAAGAAACATCCTGAAAAGGTTCACACTGGCCGTATTACCGCTCGGAGTAATCGCATTTGCCTAAGTCATTTTATAAACATTTTAAAAGGTAGGCAAAGCCAAACCTCTTTGGATAGATATTTAACCAAGCCACCTCTATCCAGTGAAAGCGCTGGTGAAAGTGAAGGAAATAAAGCAAAAAACAGTGAATAAAAATTAAAACAAAAAATATAAAACAACACTAATTTTTTTAATCTTTTCTAAGTTATTTTTAAGTTATTGTTACATTATGTTATGTAAGTTAGATTTTAGTATCATTTCCCTTCTTCCCCTCCTCAGCCATCAGTTTACACGTGCAAATAAAACTATATATTTTTTAAATTAATTATTATTCTATTATGGTTATTTATACATTTACAACTACAAAATGCATTTTTCAGTGTTTTCCTTACTATATTTATTATTTTTTTTTAATGTACTACTTAGCTTTGAGTGTTTTTTTGTTGGAACGAATTATTTGGTTTTACATGTAATCGTATGGGGAAAAATGATTCACCTTACGACATTTTCATGATATGATCTCAGTTTCGGAACGAATTAATTTCGTATCCTGAGTACCACTGTAGTTGAAAAGTAAAAACATGTTTTGTTTTGCATGTTTTTGTGGTTCCAGTTTTGCATTGTAACAACAAATGTATGTCAAATTTTGTTACAAACTTGACAAAAGTGTGATGGAAACCTATAAAATGATGCGAATGACATATGGGAAGGATGCACCATTATGCACTGTTTTGATGTAAACTTATTTAACACACAACCAATCACAGTGTTAAAAGTTCTGAATTGTATGTGTCAAGGTTTTGTTTGATGATCCATATTCTGCTGTATTTAAAATGATTGTTTGATTTCATATGATGGCTTGATGATGAATTTTAAAAAATGCCAAAAACTTGATTTGAGAGATTAAAATGAAGTTTTTGCTGGTATGGAAAAGGTAATGATGTGTAGTAATATTTGAGTTAATCAGAAATATATGGAGGTTATACATATATTTGTGCTGATATATTTAAATCTTATATTCATTACTTATAATTTAAGAATTGGTGATTATAAATTAATATTTAATAAATTTCTGTATTTTTGCTGCTTGGATGAAGGAAGAGAAAAAGGTAATATGTAAAAGGAATAACTTTCAGTGAATAAATATTTATATTACTGATATAATAATTATCAGTTTATTGTATTAGTAATATTAATTAATAATTGATACTTTTTATAATAAATAAATAAATATTAATATCAGAAAACCTTCAATAGTAATATTCTGATTATATCAGAGTTAAATAATTCTAATATGAACAGAAAATAAATTAAGTTTGATCACTAGATGATAACAGTTAGTAGCAGATAATACTTTTTGTTTTTCATCTTTTGCAAAAGCTGAAAGCTGATCAAAAGCAAAAACACGCCAATTATTGTTCTGCATCAATTTTAATGTAAACACACATTGTGGCCATATTTTTACCTGCATCATAAAGTGTGGAATATTTCATTTTTGAAAGTTGTGTAACTTATTCGATTTATAGAAGACTCTCTTATCCAATGAAGGCTAAAAACGTTTGTGTTTATATTAAAATTTGTGTACTGGAATAAGTACAATAGTGTGTTTTTTGCTTTTGGTAACTTTTTATTTAGGTCAAAAACATGCAAATGTAAGATCAGTTGACAAACAAAAATGAGAAATAAGTTTTCAGTTCAGTAGTTTGAAGAATAGAGATAATATGTAATAATTTTATCAATATAGAATTAATTTATTTCATTTATATTGTGTTAGTGACTCCAGATAATGATGCTCAAAGAAAGAACACTATTCGGCATGGTATGTTTTCTATAATGAATAGTGTGCTTTCTTTTCACTTTAATTCTGCAACTTATTTACTTTCTCTTTAATTCTCACCATTTGGAGTCACTAACATGATTATAAATAAAATAAAATTTGAAATTTTTTGTAATCAATATAAAACTAAAGTGAGATTAACCCTGCGTTAGTGCACTGAGTTTTTTTTCGGCATTAGTGCAGTGGGGCGTTTGTCCACCCCGACATTTTTTTGGGTCCAAAACTATGTAAGTAAAAATTCATAAAGATTTACTCATTTATTTGGTAAAGGCATGTGTCATTATACATATGATTATATTCAGGTATGATTACATATTATATTAGTACATAAATCCATGAAAATAAAAAACAACATTTATCAAAACTCATTACATTAGATCTTATTATTAAACCAATAGTAAAAATCTAAATTGTTTTTTAAGCATTTTTGTCACTCTGATTCAATAGCTGACATTGTACTTTGGCACTCATTGCTAATGACAAGCAACTTGCTATGTTTGGTATTTTCTCAATGTGTTTATGAAAGTTAGCCATTTTGAATTAAAATAAACTTAAATTATTTTTATTCACATTGATTATTATATCTATATTATCTATACTAATATTATAAAGAGGTAATGTTTGTATGTATGTTAGTTTGTATGCAGCAGGTAATCTCCAAAACTACTCATCCAATTTCAAAAATTCTTTCACCAATATTTAGAATGGAACTTCAGGGTGGACATAGGCTATATATTATTCCGTTAAACATGGGGGATGGACAGT